ATCGAGTTAGTTCTCATTCATACTCACCATGCACCAAATATTTTATTACATTGACCGAAGGCGTTCCTTTAATTATAAAGCGTGTAAATTAGTGCGGATTAGAGCTGGTCTTACAAATATCACAATGCTCAAAAGGATACCGAAGTAAGAGTATTTTAGAAATTACATTATTACATTATATTTTAATATTCTTTCGATAGTCTGATTTATACAATTGACTGGAAAYAGCAGCGTCTCTCTGAAGCGTGTGAAGAAGTGCGGAGTAGCTAACGTTACAATAATCACAACCCCCTAAAAGGGCACCAATGACTAAGCTTATTTTAAAAATTACATCGACAGAAAAGAATTTTAATGGACGAATATGGCTTAAGTGACTGAGGTTCAAAGGTCCTTTCACTGGATGTGAACTAATCATCAAACCATATGAGGGACCGACTTTTTCACATCCATTGAAAGGACCTCTTCCATAATCAAAAGTTACATGTTTTGATCAGTTAACGCAAAACAAAAAAATTACTAGATGCGCGACACAGATCAAATGCCTTACAGTTTTCAAGTTTTAACAATTTTATAATTATGAAAAGGAATTAAGGTGGAACCAAATTACAAGAGAGCTAACTTTCCTTTTGAAGCGTCTGAACGAGTGCCAACCCACAAACAGTTCAAGCATTGTKCTTGAGGCCTAAATAAGTATTTTTTAAATACTTCGAATTATAAGTATTTATAAGTATATCTTGTGATTCGACGATAGCGCGCCGCAAATGACAAGTAACAAAATGTTACGCTTGATCCATATACCATATATAGAAAACCGTGTTTGGATAATCCTTAGCATTTTATCGATACTCCAGCCAATTAATATCACAGTGCRACTAAAAAAGATATCGTATTGGATTTTAGTATTATAGTGGTTTTSCKMAGAAAGGATACCCTTTCATTCTGCATATTAAGCTAGCGCCCAGAGTTTGGGCCCAGAAAGGCCAATTGTAGTACCTAGTACAGGCTTGGGGAGGTGGGCGTGTTGTATAGGAGTACAAGTGGGTTGCGGGTCCATTATTTTGATGCTCCTAATTCCATTCCTTTACGACCAAAACAAAACGAATTGCACMTTTGATCCCCATTTTTCTTGCTSTTTTAGAATTTGTTACTKTTTGCCTCAAAATCCAAAATTGTGGAAAATCMCWATCTGGATTCAAACCTTGGATCGGACTTTTTCTAGGTGGAGTGTCGGAACGGTGAAAAMTTKTACTTTAGTATTTCGACTTGAAATCATAGGCAAAAGTCTAACAATACTAGAAAAATTACTTTGAARYAGTTATTTTGAAAGATTATCAAAAATTATGGCTTTTATGAGGATGATACTTTAAGGGGTACCCGGTGAGAATCTGTGAATTTATTTCACTTATTATCTCGTTTCTTCTCTTTTTTTATCGATCAAGGAACCCAARAAGACGTTCRAAAACTCCTCACTTGTGTTCCTGCCACTATAACAAGCTAAAACAGAATATAGAACGGAGTACAGTTGCAATAGATACCGAAAATGGTAAAAAGAAAGTCTTTGGGCCAAAGRGACTGATATTCTGAACAGTATTCCTGCATCAATGCTATTCAAGCGGGAAACAGGAAACGTGAGTAGTGATTTTTATGTGTGGTCAAAAAAAAAAAAAATTTACAGTGTGGGTTGATTTTTTATTATTTTAAAGTATGGACTGCGGCTGTGGTGCGACGAAGTTGAAGATACCACAGGCACACCAATCCCTTTTTACCATTGTTCTGATTCATATTAGAAACCAGATTGTAACTTACCATCTTCGGACCTACCTCTTTACCCTTTACCAAAKTATGRATATGTTAATTATCAGTTTGCTAGCATAAAGTTCACATCCAGTGAAAGGACTTTTGAAGCTAGTAATCAACTCCTTAACCAACTGAATTCCTTCGTTAACATTAACATTAACATGCCAGTTAGTTAATGAAGTGGTTATGACTGAGCTTCCAAGGTCCTTTCACTGAAAGACCATCTACCATGACTATTTCATATCCATTGAAAGGACCTGTTTCGTAATCAAAGAGTTACATAAGCAAAGTGAACAACGAAGARAAGAGCACAGAGAAAGACTTCGGTCGCAAAGAAAATCAAGGCAACAAACTTCTCCAACAGTTGAACCAACAGCTACAGAGTTCGTATGCGCTACCTGTCAAAGACGATGTTTTTCTAGAATCGGACTTCATAGCCACAAAAGAATACATAAACAATAACAATCATTTACTAAGTAGACATCTTACTCGTTAGAGGGATAGCTTCACACATAAATATTTGAATCAATATACTCAAAACGAAAAGAAAATAATGAAATTTATTAGTTATATCTACTTTGAACCAAGATACCACAGGGAATCCAACCCCTTTACTTTAATTGATCTCATTTACTATTAGAAACCAGATTGTAAATTTGCGCCATTGGATATGTTGATTATTTTGCTATCATGGAGTTCACATCCAGTAAAACGACTTTTGGCTACGGGTATCCTTTATTCAAATGCGGACCATATTTAAGGGTATCCATGACCATATTTAATAGTATCCTTTACCGTATTTAAGAGTACGTATCCTTTTTTCAAATGAACGTATTTAGGGTATCCTTGACCATATTTAAGAGTATCCTCTTTCAAATGACCATACGTAAGAGTATGCTCTTTTCACACCTTTTTTTTTAAATATTTATATATTTTTCAGCTTTTATTGTCGATTTAACTTCAGACATAAATGTCTCTTATCGAGAATGTCTCGGCTAACTTCGTCGTATACTTGTTTCTCGTCGCTTCGTCCAAGATCAGTTTGGCGGTTAGAAATCCACCCTCATTAGCCTCAGTTTAG